GATGTCCTCTAAACTAAGAGGCGCTGGTGAGGGCAGCAGAGAATCCGCCTACACACAACCGGGAGTGCGGAAGAGAGTGCTGCGACAGGGAACAGAGGGCTGTGTAAGCCTTGGCTGAGTCACACGAGGCCAGGGAGAACATTTGGGGAGGGCGTGTGACGAGAGAGGTACCTTACTGCGTTCTTGCTAAGGAATGAAATTTCATTTGTCAGGCTCCACCTTTTTGAGCTGAAATTCATTACTACATCAAAGCCAAAGCCTGGCTGCTAACAGAATACGTGTCTCTATTTAGAATGTAAATGAGAAAAATGCACGAATTACAGGGCATTTAAAGAATTGCGAGTGGATGAAGTTGGTCTTACTTAAAAAATTGACTCTGACATAATTTGATAATGAGTAATAAGCCTCGTTTCAGATTCTCTGATCATTTGAAATGCAGCAAGTTGTTATTAAAAGCGTGCGGGGCATTACGCAGGGGGCACACGCAGCTGCAGTGTGTGTGGTGGGTTGCTGGGTCTGTTTGCAGCCTGTCTACCTCCCTCCCTCCCCTCCCGCTCTAGGAAGGCGGCATGCGGGCCGCCTGCCGGACCACTGCGCAGGAAGGCTGAAGTCAGCCCTGGCTCGGCGCTGAACGATGCCGGATTGAGGATGCGACCCCGCTCCAGGAGCGTGGGAGCCCTTCAGGGGCTGGGAGGCACATGGAAGTAGGAGAGGTTGTGTACTGCCTGTGTTCGCTCCGTGATCTTAGCTGGGGTGATTGCACGCATAGGGCTCTCTAAGCATGAGGTCAACAGAAAGGATCCCGCTACGTGTGGCACTAAATATATCGGATTAAACTGCAACAGCCAGCAGCTGAGGATATTAGGTAAATATCAGATGTTCCCTAAAGAAATCAGTCTTAAAAAAAAAAAAAAAAAGACGACAAATTCACATTTATTCTTTTTTTTGTCTGTCTCTATGGCCTGGTACCAACAGGGCTAAAACGTTAGTATCTCATACTGTTCAAGCAATAATCGATAGACAATGCGCAGTTACTTTGTTCACGTATGTATTTCAAAGCAGGACAGAATGAAAACTCCCTGTCCAGGAAAAGGCGTAACATGCTGCCTAAGCCACCTGCAGTGCTGGCTTGGCGTTGGCAAGTCACGGATAACATGCAGGCGCTCAGGGGTGGGTCGCTTGTTCTACCCGCTCCCCCTGTCGTGCTTTTAAACTGTTTGTGAGCAGGGACCGGGTTTTTCCCTCCTCGTCTGCAGTAAACCAATGCGGTGTACAAAACCAGATCTATAAGATTCATTGCTGGGGTGTTTTTTTTTTAACCAGGTCGCAAGCAGAGACCTGCACAATGAACTTGTGGAGGGTTCCACGCGTGACCCGGGCACGTGCCCTTCTCCGAGCGAGCGCTTACGCTCTCTAGGTCCTGAGCCACTGGCCTACGGGAAGGCCCACACCCCCAGGCTGAGCCCCCCAGGGCTTCGTGGGGCTTTCCATCCCAGCCAGATTCCATGGAAGGACACTTGCAGGAGCGGAGTTGGGAACTCGGGGGCGTTAGGTGAGTGCCCTCCCTCGGGGTGTGGTTTTAGTCGGGATAGCGCGGAACGTGGTGGCTGACTCGGAGCTAAACCAGGACGCTCGCACGTGCTCTGGTAAATGGAGATTTCAGACAAGGGAGTGAAGACATACTTCAGTTTTATTGTTGTTTAGGCATGGATAGAAACATTAACTCTTTTGCGCTCTTGGTTCTCGAAACGTGCCTACAGTGAACTCGGAGCAGCGAAAGCCCGGCTCCTCGGACTGACGGTTTAAAGTGCATAGAGACCTAGCAGAATCCCAGAGGGCGAGGAGCTGGTTTTACTCCTTTTCCGTAGCTGTGGAAGTCGAAGGACTTGTTGGTTTTCTTCTCTCCTCTCCCCTGAACTCGCCAGAGTGTGGTATGAAAATTTCCAGCCCTTCCCTATGCTTTCCTTTTATGATCTTTGGAGGTTTCTTCTCGGTACCTAGGAGCTATTTGTAGTGTCATAAGCGAAGACGGGCGACGTCTGCACGCGCCTTCGCAGCACTCCGGTACAACTCTTCCTGTTCAGAGCCACGCCCGCTGCACGGGGTTGGCGTTTGTTAAAAAAATGTGTTTCGCTTGGCAGTGTTCTCGCACCAAAAGAAAAAGATATATTTGTATATAAAGTAACCTTTTTTTTTGTGTGTTCACGTTTTATTTTGGAAAAACAGGTGTTTAAAAATTTTAGAATTTTTTTAACAAAATTCTAAAAAGAAAAAAATCACAATATTTACAGAGATAACAGAATGGCTTAGCCATGCAAAACAAATTACTTTGGTTTTTTCCCCCATTTTACTTTGGTTTAAATATTGACCAAGATTATAGTTTTTTTTAATTCTTTTTGCCAAATAAACCAGTAACAAATCAAGGTATAGAGGCATATAACAGGATTTCCCTCTACTATTTTATACAGCATAGAGTTTATAGGACATCTTATGTATTTAATCCATGCCAATGCACTACAGGAAGCTTTTATTAAGACATCAGTCACTACTGCCCAGACATTTAACATTTTACAAATTTACAAGTAACAGTGTTTTCTTCCCCCTAAATAATGCAAAAGTGGCAAAATACATTTCCTATCGTCCATCTTTTTCATTTATTTATTTATTTACTTATTTATTCTTTTTTTTATGCCTACCAGTCTATAAAAACTTACTTTTTCCCTGGATATTTGTAAATGGAGACCTGACGTTCTGCTTACTCTACTGTTCCTCTCCATCAAAGCTGCCTGTTACCTTCTTGCAGAAACCAACCTTCCACCTAAGATGAAACTTCTCTCCCTTACGTACAACTTTCTGTTGGCCATTTACCCTGAAGCGTTTTCTTATCAGTACCATTCTAAAAATTCCCTCAAGCATAAAACATGTTTATAAAGTTACAAACTTGAATGTAACTAAAGATACATAAGACATTTCATTGTTACAATTATATGTACTGTTTGATAAATTAGGTACCAGTTAAAAACACTAAAATTATCTCAAGGTGCATTCAATATCTGTAGCATAGTTAACAAAAACACACAAAAAATATATATATTCTATTTTTGTGGAGAAAAAAAAATGCAGCTTTGATATGACCACTTTTTTAAAAAAAATTTCCACTTCTGACTGGTATCTTTTTGAACTGAAGAAAAGGTACAGTACTTTAAGGCAGCGGATAACATAAAGGAATCAAAATCAACCTAGAATTCCAGTTCCTTATGCTAACTCTAACATGAAAGACGGCTGATAACGGATCAGTAACACGCGTGGCTTGCTCTAGAAGACAAGGATTGTTAGCCACCGTCTGTACGTAGGCCAGGAACCTTTCACTCTGTCCCTTGCTCAACACTTAGCCTTCTCCGTGGGAACCCTTTATTCCCTCTCCGGCCGTTCGGCTTTGCGTGGTTTTTTAAATGTTCAATTTTCTTAATAATTTAGTTGATTCTTGTCACAGCTGTCACCCTCCCTCCTTGCTGTGATTTTAAAGAATGAAAAAGGAGTCTGACGTGTTCCTTTAAGACAATCTTACGCTCTAGGTACTTGCTACAAAGCAGAGGCTTCACCGATAGCAACCAGAATTAGACGTGTACCTGCTCAAAGGGCGTCATAAAAACAACTGAAATAAAACCATTACACTATACATCAGATTAACAGCAACTCCCAGAACAAAGCCTTACAGTGTATAAAAATAGCTACGTAAAAAATTTACATAAAGGCAAACAAAAAGAAATCTTCAGTGCAGACATTTACATAAAAAATATTTCAAACAGAACACAACATGGTGACCTATTATCATGGCTGTTGCCAAAATTAGTTTGTGGGGTTTTTTTTTTTTTTTTTTTAGCTTGAGATAACTGTGTCTAAAATCCTTTGAAAACTTGGTAGTATGATCGGTTTAATACTTGAACCATGAATAGCTGTCAATTCTTTGTATATGTTTAAATACAATCCACGTTCATGCTTCAATTGGTCTACATGTATTCTCTGAAAACATGAAAGATAAAGCCAGTTAAACATTTTAAAATATGTCAACCAACATAACTACTCAGTATCTAACCTTAAAATAAACAGCTACATGAACCCTTCTGTCGTGCAATGATGAGAATGCCTTTTCATCATAAGAAAAGCTGTTGCAAAATTGTTCCCGGTAAATCTAGTACACTTTTCTGGTAAGTAATGGATTTATGACCGTTTCATTTATGTAGATCTACTGATCTGAAGAAATAAAATAATTAGAGTAAAAGATTGCAGGGAAGGCACATGATGTACCTGAACTCCCATGTTCAATACATACCCCCAGCTAACGTCAGCTCAATATTGCAAAGCTGCAGAAAGTACCAGGCCCAGGAAAAAATTATACGAACCGAGCCCTAACCAGAAACATTACATGATTTCCCCATAAAACAGCAGTAGAAATGCTGGGTATTTACACTGCAACTTTCTCAAAACCCAAATTTACCTAGATTTCACTCTTAAATCATTAATAGGGCACCATTTTGGTATTCCTAAATTCTCTTTTCCAAACTAGTAAATCAGTGGCATCGCTAGCAAAGTGCTTTGAGCAATGTTTCGTCTCTTTATATACTATATGATCACTCTATATTCAGTGAATTCTGAATATTTAGTGCAAAAATAGTGCCTTGTGTCCTTTAAAAATTTCAGACAACACTAACATTTTGAAATTATTAATGAGGAGAGGCATCTCTATTTAAACTAGAAACTTTATCCAAATTGGAGATGTCATAATTCCACTGTATGCTTTAAACCCTGCTACCTCAAGTAGGTATCCAATGCTGTTTACTGAAGATCACTGAAAATCAGGGCCGCCTACAGCTCCCCGTTTGAGGAACTCCCAACGCAGCACCACTGAAGACGTACGACTCTCATTTGCAGGAACAGATGATGACTGACTCAAGAAGTCTCTATATGGTTAGCTGTTTTCTGCACTCTTGTGCTACCACAGCTTTAGGTTAAGATGGCCTTAGTTGGCCAGAAAAATGGGCTACCCCCCTACTTTGGGTAATAGGAAGAGCGCTGCAGCAGTGGTGTATATATATGTGGACACAGGGTGGTGCTGTTGGAGCTTTGTAGTGCTGCTGTAATTCCTAGCAGAACTGCATCTACCACTTATTTGTATGCAGACCCCAGTTGGGGAACCTTTCATACCCGTTACTAACTTAATATACAGTGCCTCTTCCCAGGCTAAAATCGATAATGGTGTAAGTATGTGACGTCGTGGGTAAAGGAATGGTTTTGTTCTAAGGCAAGTTTCGTGCCTTTTGCAGTGATGCCAAACAAAGCTGACCTGGGAACTGTGGCTTTCGGTAAGGGAAGAAGGTTCCCGTGAACATTTCAAGACATAACTCAAAACCTCCTAAACCATAAACATACTTTTCATAGAAATACGTATATACCACACTGATAAATCATACAAATTTGTATTTTCATTGCCCCAAGTCAAAAAAAGTAAAGCCAAGTGCTACGTTATGTCCTTCCAGGCTTGTGCATGTCTTCAGTAAGCACGTATGCAGGTCTGAGTCCTTTGCTGGCCCCAGGGGCTCGAGTCTGTCTGCCCTAATGCTGCACCACTCAGAATCACTCCGCTCCTCCGAGGGGGGAGTAACAGACTCCAAGCTACCACTGGGATCCCTCAGGAGAAACAGTGGACAAAGAGATGCAGAACACTGCCGTACGAAACGCTTACCTGGAGCGATGACTGACACTTTTTCTCTTAAGTTTCAGATTTATGATTGTTTTCTTCTAGTTTTTTGTTTTCTTCTATATTTCCAAGATCTTTGTCTACGTGTTTTGATGCTGTCCTATAATGGAAACATGAGGTCATTTTTTGCAAGCCTACAGCATTTTGTTCCATCCTCACATTCCTAACACTGTCTCCTCCCCTCTCAGTGAAACACAAAACTCCTACAGTTCTGCTCTGCGCGGAGCAAGAGGCTTGCATATGTCTGTAAAGAGGCCAATAGCACCAGCTCCCCCACCGGCGTAGGTACCGCAGGAAGTATTGCAGTGGGGCTGTGTATGTCTGATTTACTTCTCGAGGAACTCGGAACTACTCTGAGCTAGCAGACATTCAGAAAGGTTAAACCAGTTGTGCCGATCCACGTTTCTTGACAAATTAATTGTGTAGCTTGTTTCAGTAAACAAGACTTTGCTTTAAGGCGTACTAAAACGTTACGAGTGTGGCTAAGATATCTTGATCAACATAGCAATCTTATGTGTACTCGTGGTAATTGTCTTTCAGAGCCTGTGCCAAACGGAAGCTCTTCAAACGTGAAGAAATTAATGAAAATTCTGGCAACATTGGAAAAAACCCACTCTGGCTTCTGGACCTGTGCTAGCTATGACTGACAAGCTTTGGGTGAAGATGAGATTGTGCGAATGCTTGAGGGGGAAAAAAAAAAAAAGAGGTATGCCTCATCTAAAATAGCAGGTCTTCCTTAATGCAAGTAGTGGAGATGAATTAATGAGTTAAGTGCTTAGTTTCGCTTAGCACAATAAACCCACTAAGCCATTCATTTAATGTATGAGAAGCCTCACTGTCTGCCAAGGTGAAAGATTCCTGCAGTGCTGCGATAACATTTTGAAGGCCACAATTTTTAAAATGTAAATGGGCAAATGTGTTTGAGTGGGACAAAGTAAATCCCTTGTGTCAAAGCAGATTATCGTATCCGCATTTGGTCTCCGGGTAATTTGTTTCCCCTACAGAAAAGTAACGTCCCTTGTGACAGATTCATGCATATGCTCACCCCTGCTTCAGGGTAAAGACCCCTCGTGACACTGACTCGCAAAAATACAATGAAGACACAGGTTAGCAAGATCGTGTGACATGTCACGCTGACACCATGCAGGTATGTACCTCCCCAAACCGCTGACCTGGGTTTTTGCTAGCGGAGTGTTTCTGTGCACGTCCTCCATCTGAGCGAAGGCCTCCAGCAGTGACCAAGCACTGCGTGTGCCCTGAGCTGAAGTCACCCTTGACGGTGCCGCTGGGAGAGCGCAGGTTGGTCCGTGTCTCAGAAGAGCTGCTGGCGGGTTGCAAACGCACCCAACCCTCAGCCTCTCCCGGAGCGGGGCTGAAATGCAGCTCTCTGGGCTGGGGAGCAGCATTTGAGGGGCAGTGCCAAGGGGGGCATGGGATTCCGGGCCCAATATCCCTCCGATTGCACCAAATGGGACCGTTCTAAAATATTTTTAAGAGTAGGTTTTTTTCGTGAGTGGCTACAGGTTTTAATGATTCAAAGCTGCCTTTACCTTTTACTACTTTTTACTACTTACTACCCTTTACTACACTGGTTTTACAGTGCCTGTTCTGTTTGTGTGCCTGACAGGAAGGTGTCTGTGTGGAAAAGCTCACTTATTGCAAAGACCTGAACTCCTGCTTATTGCAGGCAAATTTATTTTTTAAAATGCTGAGATTATATCACAAAGTATCTGCCTCTACAGTGGTGAATGTCTACTGTGCAGTAACTTTCTGCTTTCTTTCGGTATTCAAAACCTGTGCACAGAAGGAAAGGATGCGAGATGCAGTGGAGAAGAAAATTTAGTGCTTTGGTAGAGATTGACCTTCTGTGATCTTAACAACCTTTCACAAATCTCTTTAATCCTATTCATAAGAAACAACCCCCCAAACAAGTAAGTTCTTTAAAATGAAAAAAAAAAAAACCCAACAACCCCAAAACCTTTTCTTAAATAATGAATAATTAAAAAAAAATTAAATTAAAAAAGATGTTTGGATTAGGTAGAGGAAAGGATTTGGCTTGTCATGTGGCTAGTGAGTCTTTTCCATAAATGAGTCTTAGGAAATTGGAGGCAGTAAGGAAAGAGATGGATACCTGAAAGAATCTAGACTCGGGCAATTCCCTGAGCTGAAATGAGTTGAGGAAGCAGAATCGTGCACATTTGTCCCCGTGTAACTGCCTACATCTGCTCTGGGAGACAGAAGAGTGGACTGGGCAGACCATGGGCATGGCTCAGTGTGATCCTTTTTTTGGCCTCTCATCAAGAGTTTTACAGTGCCCAAAGCATACTGAATCTCACACAACCTGACACTTAACAGCAGAGGGAACTGTGAGTACCATTGCTGGTCTTTGATTAGGTTAAAATTATTCAGTGACTAAACCTGGGAGATTCTGCAGTGCGATCAGGTTTTGATTTTTAAAGTGTTCTGTTGTAGTTCAGCAAACTGTTCCCCTCACTAAATGTCACCTTTATTTTCCTCAAGCCAAAACGGGTGAAAATGGGAAACTTAAAAGGCAGCACTCTGCCTTTGGAAGAGGCAGGTGATCCAAAACTCTCTTGGAGGATGGCATATACCACTCTCTTGAAATGAGAGCAGCAGTAGTTTTTCATGTCTGACAACCAGACTGATTCAGATTCTCAGCGCCTGAGACTGAAATACAGCAGTGTTCTTTCTTTTCTTGGCCTTTTGTTTGTTTGTTTGCTTGTTCTGTTCTCCAAATATTGATATCTAGGCAGATTTACCACCTCAGCACAAGCAATACTGCTGCCTGTTTTAGTGCTGCCTAAATAGCGTTATTAAGAAACAGAAGAGTAATTTTGGGCTGAGCGGCAGCAGCGTGATCCATGGGCAGTGCTCTGCCAACGGCAGAGGAATAGGCCACCCTGGCACGGCACCAATCCTCAGGGCCTGAGAGACGTGGCCTGGGTTTGTAACAGAGCAGCGGCTCAAGGCATGCTTTCCATCGCTTCCTGAGGTGACCTGAGGCACAGGACAAGTGGTCCTTTGCCAGCTTAACATTCAACAACAGCTGGTCCTTACTTTCTGCGGGCATTAACTCCTTTCAGCTTGCTCCATTTGCAACTCAGGAGCGACTTCCTGATGATACCTGAGCAGCTGCGCAGCACGCTCCGAATGGGCGGAAATATTCCCAAGGATTTGCCAAAAAGGGCAAGACAGCCCACTGTGCCATCTTGCACACCTTATCTACAGCTCCGCAACCAAAGCCCACACCTTAGCCTGCTCTGGCCATGTTATTCTGCACAGGAAGGTATGAAGATGGGTTTACTTCTGTCTCTCAACTGTGGGGGTTTTTTTAAATGAATTTGTAAAACATGGATCATTCTGAGCTCTTGCTAAAATTATGACTCATATTTTACAGTTATCTATGCTTGCTCTTCAGGAAAATAATTATCCTCAGGGAATTCTAATCAAAATCTCTCTGTAAGTAATACCAAAGTGAGATTCTTAGTTTTCTTTGGAGTGTGTGTGTGCTGATGGGCCATTTTTTTTCATGGACTATTTTCAGATACTGTTCATATTGTTTTTAATGAAGCATCTCAATTGGTTTACCTGCTGTAGAGTATACACTACATATAGATCACCCAGAAACTGGTCCTGGGTTGTAATTCCTGATTTCTTTTAATCTCACAAGCCTAGGCCTCACCCTCAACACTGTTTAAGGAAGAAAAGCTGCAGTGCTCTTTGTCATTGCTACCCACGCTTGCGATAATGATGGGTACGGGGTAGTTCTGGGTGCTGAAGCAAGAGCCATGAATTTCATTACAACTTGCATTACTTTTCAAAGGCATATTAGATGCTCAACTGCAGTGTTGTGAAAGATTTTCTAGGAGTTAATGGTATATGTCCCAATCTGGATTATCTGCAACCTCTTTCTGTTATCCTCATCTTGTCTTCCACTTCTTCCAATTATTTTCAAATGTCTAATGTAGGAAAAAAGGCAGGGATATTAGAAAAATATTCCAGTCATCAAGACACAACTGCCCATTTTTTAATCCATGCCACTTTATAGATGATTTGTGACATGAACTGATGCTTTCAGAGATGTTTGTAGCTTTGCCTCTCCTCTGGAAGGGAATTGCACGATAAACAATACAAATACTGAGCCGTGTTGAAAACGTACAGCAAGTTTCCTACATATTTGGCCTGCCACATTTGGATTCATATGCTTATTTCCTACAATGTAGCAGAAAAGCAGAATTGTTATGCTTTAAGTGTTCAGTTTCAGAGATACTGGTAACATTCTTGATTGCTGTGACCAAAAAAGAATTTCAAGAGTTTGGTGTGCTGTGACTATGAACAACCTTAAGATTGCTGCTTGTGCTTCAATATGCCCAGCTGAATTCTCCTTTGCTGCATTTTAAAGCACTTTAACCTTGATCTAGCCTCATGAGATTTGTGCACCTCCAAACCCAAGGAGCAAAAATGGGACAAATTCCTTGCCTAGAGAACAGGGATACAGGGTGATGGGTGCATTGTTTTTTCTTTCTACATCTTTAATTTCTGCTGTACTCTCAGCCGTTTCTGGCAGGGAGAAAATTTCATATATGAAGAATTTACTGAAGATGGGTGTCCTAGAATCACTCAACTGAGGTCTGACACAAAAATGTTAGAAAGATTCTGAAGTGCCGAGTTATGTTCAGTTCAAATCAGATTAAAATATCCGTTTTGGAAAATGAGAAATCTATAGCAAACAACTTCTTGGCCTTCTGCTCAGATGAAGGAGAAACATGGCATGCTGGGGTAGGTGGCCTCAACTCTTTACTCAAGAGGGGGCTGGTTGGAGGATGTGGAATACAGATGAGTGAGTCCCTGATTTACCGGATAATATTCATAGTGAAAAGAATATGTGGCAATAATCAGCTTTGCATCAAGTGGAGCTGAGGCAGTGAATTAACTATATAAAGTGATTTATTGTGAATATATTCCAAGGCTACAAGTATAATTCCTACTTAGAGTGGATGACAAGACAATAGAGGATTATACAAACCACAACACCAATAATGAAAAAAAGTAATGTTTTTCTTGCCTCGGCAGACTTGG